AAGGTTGTTTAGTTCACTAGAATTGAAGTGAACTAAATAAAAATCATTAGAAATCCCGTTGCGTGAATCGCCCGTACGGTATTTCATTATCATTTTGATTACTTGGAGTGGCACAACTCCAAGTAACTTTGCCAGTTCATCTTTGATCTGATCCAGGGATTCACTATGTACTGGGCAGTCCTTTCATGACAACCTTGAACACACGTTCAGTTTTGGTGTCGTATGTAAACAATTTGTGCTGCTTCTCAGTAAGATACTTGAGAAGACATTTAAATCCGTCCAAGGTTTCAGCCAATACACGGCATTCACCCCGAAGTTCAATTTGTAGTGAAAACTTAACTTTCACGAGGTTCAAAAGTTCCATGCGAAGAGCATGGAAATCGAAAGTGGTTATCAATAGGGGGAATCTTTTCTTTCTTGGCATTAAGCCGGGAAAGTTTACTAGAATTTTTCCTGGATGATGGATCATTCTCATCATCCGTGAGCAAATCAAATTGATTACTCAAATTAATTTCATCAGAAGGGGGATCAAGAGTTTGCCCTTTTATTTTGCGCTTAGGCGCCGTGGCGACAGTAATTTTTTATCCAAATCAACTTCCAAGCAGATTACTATAAGAATCTGAAGGTTCAAAGAGGAATTTTCCAAATCGATATCCAAGAAAGATTACCTCGGGTAGGTCCAAAAAGGATCGAAAAGGAATAAGAGTTAAACAAGGTTGAAAATTTACAGGTATATTGAGCACTGAAAAGTGCTGTTTAAATTTGTTGTAGCTTTAGGTAGTAGTAACACTTCCTTCAGCAAAAAGCAAATAGATCCGCACGGCAAGAGAGCAAGATGTGGACTGAAAAAAAAAATCTTCTTTCATGTCTCGCATCTACTACACTGAAACAAATCGACATGTACCGTTTATTGGAAACATTTCAAAAGGTTATCTATTTTGATCAATTCTCTTCATCGGTTTTCTTTTTTGATAACCATGGCTCTGAAAACAGATTTTGAGCTACTTCTGCCCCATAGTTTGATAAAGAAGCTTCTAATCTAGCGCCGATAACGTCAAACACAACATGGAATATTTTTACAGCTGAAATAATAACGAAAGAGAAAGTCGATCAATGCAGATAGGACATTTTGAAATGTTCATCTAGAACTCCAAATAATGCCAACATCGGCTTTTTGGACTGCTACATTCTAAAAATCTGCTGCAAAGCTGCTCGAATGAGCTAGTTTTTTCTAACATCTAACACCAGGGAATCAAATACAGGATTCCTCGACAAAACGTAACCATTACATCGCAGATTTCTTCCATTAGATGAGACAGATTTGTGTGATTGCGTTATTGATCGCGATGAATCAATGACAGATGTGAACAGTGACAGTTACGTTATATCGTGGTATACTACATGACAAAATGACATACGAAATACGAGTCAAATAATGATGGGTCAGTAACGGCAACTCACTCATGTACAATCCTAGTTGTGCATAGGGTCACCGTGAATGATTTCCATCCTACACGGTAAGAAAAAAGTACCCAACGGAAAGTTCACTTTTACCTACTTTTGACTAGTTTGTCTCCTTTTCTCCTTCTAATGTTGTCAAAAACGGAGGAGCAAAACCACCCAACAGGGGTAGTAAAGTGTGGGAACCCAACGTTGAGTATAATCATATTTACCTACAGTTGGGTACAACTAACTTACTTTTGGGTAGAAAGCGAGTGCAAAATTCCATACGAATTGCACACAAGTAAATGAAAACTATTTTGACCCACTTTACCTACTTTTGGGTTCCTGCACTATAGTGCCGAGATGAGTGAAAAGAACTTAATTTTGGGTAATTTTTTCTAACCGTGTAGGCGGCTAGCCAAAATTTTTGACATTTCAAGCTGAACATTGCATTAGGTCCTAAGTAACATTGACAGATTCTCTTCGTCGATTTTCTCTTTGTATCCCCACGGTCATGTAAAGAAATTCCCAAGAATTTTCAGCACACAGATCTATAAAAGAAGCTTTTATCTAGCATCTAATACGACAAACATAACAAGAAACGGTTAGGTGTTCAAGTTATTAACGAAAGAGAAAGTCGACAAAGAGAATCGATCAATGTTACTTAGGACCTAATGCAATGTTCAGCTTGATTTTCATCGCTCGTAATAAAACGGAGCGAGAAAGTAGCCCCACTCTATTTATTACGTAACGCTCTTCAAGCCCTATTTCTTTTAATGAAATTCAGATTTTTCTATAAATGTTAGGTTTGGTATTTTAACATATTCAAAATAAATCTAAAGATAAGCGTACCATCGAGTACCTGCAATTCAAAAGTTTAACGAAAGCAAAAAAAAAAAAATCAAGATAGCAAACTAAAATACGTCCATTTTGCAAGCAAGATTTAATTGATGCTAGTTGCTATTCTGATGCTGATAAAGAAAAACTTAAAAATACTGAACTGATATGGTACAAAGACATAGCATACCAAAAAGGTTAGTAGGTTGCTATAGTAGCAGGAGCTTATACGTTAAAACCAGAGGTGATTCAGCACAAGTTCAAAAGCTTCTTTAATAAAGAAAATTTACCAACTTACTAACTTATAGGCATTGCTAAAAATAACATAAATAAAGATTTTTTTTTTTCAAATATAGGTTCAACATGATTTTTTATCAGATAGCCTAGTCGATTAAGATACGGTTCTATCAAGCCGGGGGAGGTAGGTTCGAATTCCGGTCAGGTCCAGGAAATCTTTCAGGATGGAAATGCTCTTGACTTCCCTGGACATAGAGTATACTTTTTGGCATGGAAAACTCTCAATTAATAACTGTGGAAGTGCATCAAGAACACTAGGTTGCCATTAGAAAACCAAGTAGAAGAAGAATTGATTTGAATTATGCACAAGATTAGTTTTTGGGTCAGGTAAATTTTGTTCTGAAGTCTTCCCTTTAACTTTAAGAACATGGCCCGGTCAGTAAATTACCCATTTTTTGCTATTAATACAAAGAAATACCCTATTTGCCACACCTGCATAGACCTCATTGTTCAGGGATGTCGATCGTTATCCACGACTCGTACACTCAAAAGATTTTCAAATCTAAATAGATTAAAAGTCACGCTTAATCACAACTCTCTTTACCGGCGCATAGCTTGGTTTAAAGAGAGATAATACTAACTTAGCATAAAACTGGTTTATACATTGGATAGTAAATAAAACAGCAAAAAAGGTTATCTTCCATTTAATTCTTCTAATACAGGTGTGGGAGCTGCCTCTTTGGCGTCGGTAGCATTGGTGCTCAGCACGGAAAACAAGATCGACGGAAAACAAGATCGACGGAAAGCAAATCATTGAAAAACAATTTTTTTTTTAGAAAACGATGGTCTGTATTACGATGCACCTTTGTGTAAAAAATCAGCGCTCAAGGACTCCATTTACCCCCTGATGATAAAAGGTAAAGAAGTGCCGCCGATGCCGTCACAGTTAACAATAAAGATTTTCTGAGTCAAGGATTTTGGTTGTGATAATATTACCACTGTACGACTCGTTTTTTTACTACCTCCGTAAGCTGGGCATTAAACAGTTGCTAGATTAACCACGGTCAAGAAAATTGCTACGGGAGTTTGAGTTTCTGTTTCTTATGGCAATATATGAAAACGACGATGCGCTGAATTCTCTCAGGGCATCTGGTAAGATTCAAAACAAAACCAAGAGCACGGTGCTAGCATGGAAAATTTCCGGTGTTCATACCGGATGAAAATGAACAGACTTACTGAACCTATCCGTAAATCATGTCGTTAGGTTGTATTGCACTTGGCCATTATAGTACCATCAAAGGGGGTGACACAAAACAGTCTTGATAGTTCATTTTCATTCGATGAAAGATGCTATAAAATTAAAATAAATGGATTAGTTTTGATATTGCGGTGAATCTGGAAAATTTGTTCATTCAACAACAACACAATTCTTGACTAAATTAATCTAATGATTTCATAATTTTGGAAAACCATGTTTTATAGTAAATGATTGGCTAGTAAATAATTTTATATTTGAATCTATTGGATGAAAGAATGATGTGGTCAAGACTAGGGTTCTAATGCAGTGTCACTATCGATGAAATTGATTGATGTTGTCGCCAAGGAATCTGATTTTGATTGACAAAGTTGTGTGTTTTTGGAGGGTGTTCTTGGTTTTTGCAGGGTATAAATAGCAGGACCATACTTTTAGAATCGGTTCATTGCGATAAAGCATGACAACAAACCAATTACTTCATCATTGCTCAATAGTGATGGAGAAATCTACATGCCCTAAGCTAAGGACACGGGATACAGTAAAGTTTCGATTTTATCAGTCAAATTTAGTCGATTTTAGAGTCAAACCATACCAGTACAAACATCTCATCACAAGATCGCTACCAATTACATATAAACTTAAAGATAATAGAAATAAGACAGAAAGTTACCCTGTTTGACGGTAATTTTCTTCTTCTGACAAAATCCCTTCCAAGCGTTCTTACGGACTAGGCAGAGTAATTTATTATTATTATTATTTTCGCACCTGCTACATTGTTCTGCTTTTATCGTTAGAATTCATAAAGTTCAGCGCAGCTAGACCCACATTCAGAAGGAAGCAGTGCATGGAAGAAGAAGAAGAAAGTGTTTAAACCGGACAGAGAAATACTTTACGAAGTAGTACACCATGCCTAGCGGCGTTTTTCACCGTGTTGTTTTCATTTCGTGACTATGTTTAACCTTCACCTCAGCTTGGGTGAGGCATGATTAATGTGGATGAAATAATTTATTGCTGTTTGCAAGTATGATAGGTTTCACAACCACTTCGCGCCAAAACGTAAATTTCGTATTGGTGCATTTTGGATTGTTTTTCTTTATTTTTTATTTGTGGTTGGGGCTCAATTTTCCTATGCTAGTTTCCGAATAAAATGTTTCATGTAAAAGTTAATTAAAAGCAGCAGCTAGAATTAATCCAATCACGCAAATTTCATCTCTTATCTAATCACCAGGTACACCGTTTTGGTGCTTGTTGGATATCGTGCCAATCAAGAATGAAAAACGTGAGGTGGTGCTTTTCCTTGCCTCCCACAAGGATGTTACGACGGCGAAAATGTCTGAGATGTCAATGTCGGATGAGTGCGATAGTGGTAAGTGGTGGTTGAAATATTTCATGCTACTTGATGTCATTCAATGCTTGCCTTTGTAATTTGAACGCTTTGAAATTTATATTTAGAGTAAAGGTACTAAGTAGGGTATAAGTAGCGATGTGTTCTATTTTAAACTCCTTATAGGCAGTGTGTTAGAGATAAATTTGCAACAGAAACCTTAGAAAAACTTATCGATCGTACATTTCTTCGTAATAATAATATTGAAGTACACTGAAAGTAGAATACTTTTCATACACATAACAAAACAAACTCTTAAAATTATTGATTGAATTTAAGAAGAAACTATTCATGAGTTTCATTTTCGAAAAAGATCAATTTTATTATATTAGGCAATCGTAAACTCTTTAATGAACACAACACAGTACATCTTCATTATGCAAATGAAGATGTACTGTGTTGTGTTCATTAAAGAGTTTACGATTGCCTAATATAATAAAATTGAAGATTATGCCTTCGATAAATGCTAAATGAGAGTAGCGGTGTTCAAGTTAACGATTTAGCTTCCAACAGCACTTTTGATTTAAAATCAGATCAGGACAGTTTCAAATATTGGGAGGATAATAACGACTAGATAAGTATTCGATTCCGTCTGCCGAGCTACAGTGTATCACAAAATTGAGCGTACACCCTAATGGAGCATTTTTTTTGAAATATTCTCAATAGATATTTTTTTTTAAATCGTGGCTGGTGGTTAACCAGATGTTTATTGATTTATCGTTTTAGTTTTAGACTTTATTGGAATATGCTGTATGAAGTAAGATTTATTTTAGTAAAACGCACGATTTTCATCTTTTTACCTAGTGGATGAATTTTCGAAAAAAAAATAGTGGTGTATTAATGATCTTTATTATGACTAAAAATAAGCAAAATTTAAAAAAAGTTCAGTTTATTGTTTTTCATGATGTTAAGGTTTTTCGAGGAAAAGGCGTATTTCTCAAAAAGCTCTTACTTTTAATAAACGCAACCAAATAAGCCCAACACTGCAATAATTGATAAATTTATGATGATTCAGCAGTCAGAAATTCAGACACGTATCTCTTTAAATTGTGCTTTTAAAGCTAATTTTTATAAAATTTAAGTACATCTGTACGCTCAATTTTGAGATACACTGTATGTCCAGAATTTGACATGGGCTTAAACTCACCAGAAGCACAGACAAACAGACGTAACGCTTCATTGTGTATCTTTGTTCACACATTTAACGGTTGATTTGAATATTATGATTTCCGCGAACTACTCACCACAGCGCTAGCATCGGATCACTTTGACGTTTCTATATATTCTATAGAACTTGTATACAATATTGTTTGCGAGCTAGCGAGCAAGTTTGTTTTCCGCGAGAAGTCCAAGAAATGTCGTTACAGAGGTTCTATGTTTTGAGATAGGTTGTTTTCAAGAAAAACTTTTTCAAAGAGGTACGTCTGTTTGTCTGTGGGTCAACTTAACAACCCTCTACTCCTCTACAACTCTATCGATTTGTATTGAGTTCCCCAACAAATTTGCCAAATTTGAACGCAGTTAGTTATAATCTGGAGTTGCGGGAGAGCTTTATGATTTGTATGGGAAAATGAATTGGAAACGGTCCGAAACTGTTCAATTGTTTAGATTTAGAAAACTATGCAGAACAGCTTCGTTGAAGAACGCAAAGAGATTCGACATCTGTGCAAAAAGTTTTTTTTATGTATAGTCATTTTTTCTTTGTAGGTATCCCCGGAGAAACAGAGCGACAGTAAAACGATAGTAACTTTTTGTACAGAAGTCGAATCGATTTGCAGTCATCGACGTAGTTGTTTTGAATAGTTTTCTCAATCTATGTCTCAAGTCTCAAGAAAATTGAGCAGTTTTTGAAATATTTTCAAGCAAATGAATAGTTTTGTTTTGTTTCCCATACATATTTCCGTACACATTTTAAAGCTCTCCCGGTAATCCGGATTGAAAATGAATGCATTAAAATAGGGCACAGTTGCTGGGCATCCCAATACGAATCAAAAAGAGCAGAGCCGGGGGTTGTGATCCGCCATATAAATTTCGACCCACCCTACTCACCATCAATTCACATGAAATTCCAAAAACTATTATAAACATCATATTGTGTGTCTAAGTCAATGCCAATGTGCATGATTCTAATACCTCTATGGATATAATCAAAATCAGAAAGGAGTAAAATCTCATGAATGCGGTGTATCAAATTGAATTGTCGTTTGTTTTATTATAGTCACTAAACATTTAGAGAATGGTGACACTGTCCTGGGAACATTTTTAAACATTTGACCATCGGCGTGAGAGGCATGTATGCTAACCACTTCGCAAGGCCCGCATTACTCGCATTAATTTATTCACTTTTTCTTCATGTCATTTGAAATAAGCATCAGCAGAAGACGTAAAGAATCCACCAACAACTCAAACATATATTTGTTGTTTAAAGTTAAATAGAATGTAGTATAGTACATTGTAGTAGAATTGCTATGTGTTATCATTCCACAGTAAGATGAATATACCTCTAATCTTGTTTTATTTTTCTCACGAATATTGAATCACGAACCACTTTCAACAGCGTCACCCTTATCAATGCAAGCAATGACAGATTACTCAAATACATAGTTTTATAGCATACTTTTTTCTTTCTTCACAATTCTAGTAAAACAACTGTTGCCTCCTTTTCTTCCGCATCTCGATGTATTTTTAATCAATCCATTCTCTCCTACATTTTTGTACAATGGTAATTTTAGCCGCTTTATTGGGAGCACGATTTCGATCAGCTGAAACCTCTTTGCTTGCAGACGATGGAGCGGAGGATGAGAATTTGGAAATACCTCCGGGAGTAAACATGGGCCGGCGACGTTCGCGAGCGGTGCTATATCAGCTTTCCGGCCATTATAAGCCGGAAAAAATGAAGACTAAAATGAAACTTAATAGTGTAAGTACATCAGGGGAAGCGAAGCAAAACCGTTTCCGCTCCGGAACCATTCGCTCCAAAAATATTATATTGATAGTCTAGCGGACAAAAGAGCTACTCCCATAGTACCTCATCGTGATAGGATCATGGTCTAATCTCATATTTTGCCTTTCTTTTTCTTTTTTCCATTATTGTGTGTCCCTTTTTTGTACTTTTATTAGAATATATTACATTCTAGCGAAGCTCCACTACCTGAATATAAGACGCAAGCCTTAAAGAAATCACGTTTTATTCTGTCGCACTACGGAATGTTCAGGGGTTGTTGGGACTGGTTGATTTTAGTGGCCACATTCTACGTCGCCGTTGCCGTACCTTACAACGCTGCTTTCGTTACAATTGATCGTTTGACTGTGGCATCCGATGTTATCGTTGAGGCTTTATTTATTGTTGGTGAGTATGCCGTAGAAGATAAAAGGGATTGGGTTGGGATGAAACATCTCTGTTCAATTTCGCTGGAAGCATTCGGGACAAAAGCGACGCGACGGTTTGTTCTGCCTTGGAACGCAAACACAACTTTGATCTGCATTTTCATAGACTAACGCCGTTTTGGGTTGAAAAGCAAACATTGTACTATGCATACATAAATATATCATGATTAAGTTCACTGGGATGCTTTAAAGTGGGTCACAAGAAAATATGGATTTTGTAGAAAATTACGGATATTTTATGCAATATTTTAAATACCTGTATTAAAGCAAAGTTATTGATCTTTTCCTATTTTGAAAGAATGAAGAAAAGCTAAATTAAGCTTTTTCATTGTTTGTAAGAAATTTTACTGATGGCCTGAACGAAGGGAGAAATCCTCTTTGAGATTTGAATCGTAAACATATTAAAAAAAAAAAACATATTAACATAAAAAAATGACGCTCACTTGTGACTGTAAATTGTGTGTAACCAATACAGCCAATACTATAATAGGGCTTCCCAGAAAGTGTACACGGAACCGAAAAATTACCCAAAATTAAGTTCTTTTCACTCATCTCCCATGTTCCGTTCAATAAGCTAATTTTCAGTAAACCGCTTATAGTAGTTTACATTTGACTACGGCAAAAAATAATTACTTACTCGTGAGTATTTTCCACCCAAAATTAAGTTCAATTGACTCAAATTTGAGAGTATCTCATATACTCACAAGTAGCTTATTAAACGATAGTCATGAAAAAGTCGAATCTCTCGTTCCGTTTTTGACAACAACAAAAAGTGAGAGTGGGATGCAAAACTCAAAATTAAGCAAAAAGAACTTAAATTTACGGTTTTTTTTTCTTTGTGTAGGCACACTTTCAACACGCTTCTATCCCGATGAAGTTTATCAGCTGTCCATCGATGTGTGTTGTTGTTTACTTATTGCTCAACAAGTTTGAGTGCGCAAAGTGCATTTTTTACAAACTCATCAAAATTTGAGGTATTTTTCCGGAATAGCTCAGGTGCACTATTCCCAACCTATCAGTAAGGAAGTTGGCGAAAATGGAGAAAGTAAGTATCGGAGCAGTCCGAACCGCCATCCGAAAGTTCGGTGAAGAAGTTACCTTCGAGGACACACCAAAATCTGAACCGGAAGATCAGCCAAGCTTTCGTCAATACGAAAAGTGCCTCTGTCTGAGATTTGGCTAAAACACTGAGAACATCGAGGAGTAACGTTCAACGTATCAAGGCAAGGCACGGGCTAAAAACCATCAAGAAGCAGAAGAACAAAAATCGAGTCAGAAACAAGCTGCATCAGTCAAACCAAAGGCTCGGATGCTACATGATAGTCTGCTGTGTGGAAAATTGGCGTGTGTTATCATGGATGATGAAACATACGTCAAATTTGACTAAAAAACGCTTCTGGGAGGCTACACAGTCTGTCATGGTCAGGAAGTTGAAAATGCCGATAAATAATTTTTTCCGAAAATTTTGGTAAGAAGGTCATGGTTTGGCAAGCGATATGTGAGTGTGGCAAGTTTTCAAAGCCATTTATGACGAAGGAGAAGATGAACATTAAAATTTACGTTCGGGAGTGTTTGAATCGGCGTTTGCGACCCATGATCCGTCAACGGCCCAGTAATATTTTGGACCGATTTGGCGTCAATGTACTACTCGAAAGACACGGTAGCTTGGTAAAAAGCAAACAATGTGCAATACTTGCCAAAAGAGATGAATCCTTCGAATTGTCCGGAGGCTCGGCTAATCGAAACTTTTTGGGTCCTTTCCAAAGGATATCTACGGAAACACTTAAAAGCACTGAATTCAATTGAAGAATTTGAAAAAGACTGGGCAAAATTGGTCATTATTATCACCAAGAAAACTGTGCTAATGCTCATGGGCAGCGTCAGATCAAAAGTTCGCTCCTTGGCATACAATTAAAGAACTGTGGATTATTATCTACTAATTGAAAGAGAATTCTATAGAGAACATATATCTATATATAGGTATATAAATATAAATGAATTTCTACCTGTATGTCTGATCCTTATAGACTCGGAAACTACTGAACCGATCGGCGTGAAAATTTGTATGAAGGGGTTTTTGGGGCCAGGAAAGGTTTTTATGATGGTTGGAGACCCCTCACCCTCTGTAAGGGGGGCTCCCATACAAATGAAACAGAGAAATATAGCATGCTTTTATTAATTCGCGCATAAAAGCTAATATTGAATCCCGAGCAAAGCCGGTCACACTCAGCTAGTATGAAATAACAATTTGAGTTCATTAGCATAACGTTGTTTTATTCCAATATTAAACTGTGCTTATACTTTTTGGGACGCCTTTTATTAGAAATTTAAAGGGTATACAGGAAATTAGGCTCAATATGAGAAAGCGAAAGATGAACTTTTTAGCCACATCAAGAATTATGTTTTTCTTAAAATCTTAGAGAAAACATTTCAGGATTTCGGACTTGATTTTTTCAACATCCCGGTTACATTCGTTTTGATCAGATTATCGAACTTTGAAAAGAATTCATAATTCCAGACATAATTTTATTTTTGGGAAGCTCTGCTACCCATGAATGTATGTGATTGTGACATTCATATGTCCCATGTGAATTTTAACTATTACCCTTGTTCCCGTTTTCAAACCAATCGGACACACCATAGAAAAAAAAACACGAAAAATTACCTGTTTTGTTAAGAAATTCTCGCTAAAAATTCAAAAAGAAAAAAAAAACATTTTTTTCGGCATGGTGTCTTCCACATGGGTCTGTTATGTGTTTTGTAAGCAGTATAAGATTTAAATCATACGTGTTAATTATGGACATGATCAAAATACTACAAAAAACATGATATCTTCTGAATCCAATAATTATATTTTAATATCAAATTGAGAAAAATAGGACTTTTCAAAACATTAATGATCCTAGCATAATTCTGGGATAATTGAGTATTAGTACGTGACACTGAAGAAGTCTGCACATTGTAGACAAAATACGCGTATCTGTCAAGGATAAGCAATTGAAGTAGTGGAATTAAATGGAAATTACTAATTCTTCTCTCTTTATTCTCTCAAATTCATCAGAATTCTGGGATCTTCGGCTTATTTTTTTTTAATTTCGAACTTAAATATGTTTATGCTTCTGGAGCGGATGATCGTGTTTTTAGATCTTTGTATAAAACTCTGGACCCTGGATAAAATATGTACCCAACCATTAAATGTAAGATTCTATTGCACCGAAAGTATGCAGAATTTGATATATTTCTCGACATGAACAGATTCTATAATGTTGTCGCCAAAGATTTTTTAAATAATGTTGTAGTGTTTATGTTAGCTTATTCTTCGAAAAAGTTCGTTTCACCAATTTCATTGAAAAGTATTATACAAAAATATGCATTCTGGAAAGACTTGCTTATACGCTACAGTCCATTGCAAAAAACTGCCATTACATTTGTTGTATGAAACATATGCAGAGGATGTAATAAATCAAACCATACATTGGATGCAAGAGAAATTTCTAATGCGGGTTTGACCAAGAATTGCAAGAACAGTAAAAATATTTCATTGGCTGTATTTTTCAAAAATGTTACTGCATTTTTGCAGAATGCTCATACAAAGATAGAATTCACATGCGCTTACGATTAATTGTGTAGAGTATTTTGAGCAAACACATTCTCTATACCATAAAACTTTCCACGGAAAACTTTATCGTCATTGCGACACATCTAAATCGCCACCAGCTAACATTTACAGTGCACCTCAACATTGAGCCTACGGAAAATTTATTTATATACTGTAAATAAAAAGATTTTTGGAATCTTGGTTGGTGGTTGAACAACTACCGTATACGTGATAATGTTTACACCATCGTACAAATAAGGTTCCCGTTTCACCTGTGCATACAATGCCTTGGTTTTCTTTGCATGCACGTAACCTACACGGTAAGAAAAAAATACCCAACGGCCAGTTCACTTTTACCTACTATTGACTAGTTTGTCTCCTTTTCTCCTTCTAATGTTGTCAAAAACGGAGGAGCAAAACCACCCAACAGGGGTAGTAAAGTGTGGGAACCCAACGTTGAGTATAATCATATTTACCTACTTTTGGGTACAACTAACTTACTTTTGGGTAGAAAGCGAGTGCAAAATTCCATACGAATTGCACACAAGTAAATGAAAACTATTTTGACCCGCTTTACCTACTTTTGGGTTCCTGCACTGCCGAGATGAGTGAAACAAACTTACTTTTGAGTACTTTTTTCTAACCGTGTATAGCTCATACCGTAGTAGGCTGTGTATAAAAGAAAATGATTTACTTAGTTTGACAGTTGCACCATGACGAAGTGGCAGCGTATTCGTGATTTGTCCCACGCGCCAATGGCGCAAAAAGACCATTTTAATCGTTGTGGGAGTGTCCCGGTGGACCGTCAAAAGGGTTTTAGACCGATAAAAGAAAGGACAACTATCCATGAAGATTCGGGTGAATCCAGTGCGTTCAATAAGGAAAATTGCAAAGGAACACGGGATCAGTGACTTTACGGCACGGAAGATCGTAAAGGAAGATTGCGGGGCGAAATCGAGGGCACGGAAATATCTCACATGATTACCAACCGCATCCGGGAGCTACGAGTCGAACGATTCAAGAAAATCTTGAACTTCCTTAAGGGAAAAAATCCGGTAATCCTGTTCACCGACGAGAGCATGTTTACCGTCGATCCCGTATAAAATTCCAGAACTGTCCGGTATATTAGTTCTCTTCTGGTAAAAGACGTGTCCGATGAGCACAAGAACGTGTATCTGACCAAGCATCCTGCTAGCGTTACGGTGTTTGGATTGGTGGCTACCGATGGCAAAAAAATGGACCCGGTGTTCATTCCAGAAGGCGACAAGGTCAACACGGAGGTCTACATCGGGATTTTAAGTAAGTATGTTCTTCCGTGGATCAAAGAACAGTACGGTCCGAAGCCAAATGTTGTATTTCAACAAGATGGGGCTCCGTGCCACACCTCGAACCGCGCTCAGTAGTGGTTGCAGGAACATCTTCCGTTCTGGGCGAAGGATATGTGGCCGCCATCCAGCCCCGATCTCAATCCGCTGGATTACTCAATATGGCGCGTCATGAAGGCCAAGACCTGTTCTAAACGCCACCCGAGTACAGCAAGCCTCAGACAAACATTGACCCGTTCCTGGAGAGAAATTGATCCAGGCTACATTATTAGAACCTGCCGTGCATTCCGGTAGCGTGTGGAGGCCGTAATTGCAGCAAGTGGAAACTCGATCGATGATTAACATAGTTTTAGACTCTGAGAAACATCCCCCTTAGAATAAATAAAAAAAACTCGAAAACGAAATTTAAAAAAAAAATTTTGACATTGCTCAATGGTGCAAACATTATCACGCATACGGTATTTATTAATTTATTGGTACAGTTTTGGACAGAGCCTAGGGGCCTAGATAGGACAATTTCAGTAAAACGCTCGATTTTCAACTGTTTTTTTTTTGTAGTGGACGGATTTGAGCCAAACTGATGGCATATGAAAACTCTTTATTATGACTACAAAAGAGCAATGTTACATTTTTTTAAAAAGGATTTTTTTAGATACCTTTAACTGTTTACTTACTAAACCTATTAAGCCCAATACAATACCGATAACCGATAATTATTCAATTAGCCAGCAACCAAACATCAGAATCAGAAATCTATCTTTTAAATTGAGCTGCCTTCTAAAATGTATGAACAGCTGTACGCTCAATTTTGAGATACACTGTATTTCATGCAGTTGACCAATCTGGAGGGTCCATATAGACATCCTCCAAGCATGTCCCACCAAAAAAAACATGGGAATGCATATTCATTTGTTTAAATTAACAATGTTCATCTGAACTGGAGCCAGTTTGTGAGCGGTATGTGAGCGTTTTACCGGCTTTCAACTTAGTGTTGTAGATGCACTTCCATTGTTCTAACCAATGCACGAATGTGTATGATATGTGGCAAGCACAATGATACTATATGCCCAGCGAAGGCGTGAAAATGTCTAACCCTAATGATTTCCTTGTATTCAGTATGTACATTTTTAAATTAATATCTGTATTTTCACAAAAAAAAAAAAAAAATGCGAGTGCCGTAATGCACCGAAATTTGGACACTTTTTAAAGTTAATTATCAAAGCCTACCATGCTCAAAACAGCCCGTAAAATTTATTATGCCTTTATGTCATCGTTCAGAATCATCAGATATGTTCAAAGTAGACGTACTAATTAATTAGTATGATGGGATGGAACTGTAAGTACAACATTTAGAGCTACATATTCGTTCCATTTCACTACAATTTGCGGTTTGCAAATGTTCTTCAATACTATTTCTGGGTTTTGTTAAGAAGCGCTTCTAGTACATAGTATGTATCAAAACTTATGCACGATAAATCCTAGAATTAGCTAAAAAAAAATCACGAACTACTCAAATGTGTATTGTGTTGACGGTATCCATTAACTACGTAACGCTAAAAATCGAAATTTTCGACCCCCTCCACCCCCTTTGTAGCAAAACGTATCGCGGAAAGTTACTTCCCTCTAATAATTGCGTAACGCTCTTAACCCCCCCCCCCTCCTTCCCCTATCATTTCATGAAATTTAGTTTTTTTTTTCAATATTTTTTAATTTGATTATAACTCCCCCGCCTATAAACGTTACGTAATCTATAGACGCCGCATAAATAGTGCTTCTGTTCCGGGGCTACGTTTTTTACAATTATCCCCCATATATCTATGTATAGTAAACATCAATACAAAACCTTATTAAAGTATACATGGAAGTATAGAAGTATTAATTGACGTGGTCCCACAGCCACACTGTTCATAAAGCTATCACAAATTGTAAATTAGCACCTCGATTGTTACCCTACTACATATTGTGCGAGGGCGATCAATTTGTATGAAAATTTATCCACAGAAGCGATACCCCGATTGACTAATTTCTGCGAATGAAACTGCAAATTCAACCGCATCACGCTACACATATCCGCAAAATAAATAATTTAATCTATTCTCAATGCCATTTCAGATATTCTAGTGAACTTTCGCACAACGTACGTGTCTCGCAAGGGTGAGGTTGTATCAAATTCTAAAAGTATAGCAGTTAACTATCTAAAAGGGTGGTTCATGGTTGACCTGTTTGCCGCTCTGCCGTTTGATCATCTCTACGCTAGTAACGTGATTAGTGGAGAGGTAAGAGATAACACAATTATAGTCCATGTCTTGTCTGAATTTGATGATTCAATTATGCAGATTCGCCTATTTACACAAACACCGAGAAAGAGAAAGTCACACCATTCTTAGTTACATACATATTACCCTTTGATATGAACATCCTTGCGTAATATTCCAACTACCTATACCACCGATATTAGCCTCACTCGAAGCTATGATACTAATTAAGTTTTTTTTCTTTTCCTTTCTATGCATTTTCCCGTGTTTATTTAATTACGATCTTCACGCACAGGAATCTCACATTCATTTAGTCAAATTAACACGATTATTAAGGCTGGCACGATTGCTTCAAAAGATGGATAGATATTCGCAATATACGGCTATGATTTTAACGTTGTTGATGCTATGCTTCTCTTTAGTTGCACATTGGCTGGCTTGCATTTGGTATGTGATAGCAGAGAAAGAAAGACTCGTTAATGAGCAAGACTGGGATATTGGTAAGTGAAATCATTTGTGCCTCGATGGATGTCCTTGGTGTGTATTTAAAGGGTCTTCTTTCCGCGATTAATTTCTGAAATCGATAGATTAAACGGTTTAGTTAGCTTACACGGGCTCACGATAATTGAAACGGAAACTAATTGCTTGGCACTCCCTCAAGGTAGCCGAAAAAAAACGACCAGAGTTCGTAGCCTTGCGTTTATCACGCGCTATTATTTTTTTGAAGCGATCTACACTGCATTTTGTACCGCCGTGTGACAGCGAAGTGACGTATACGCCAGTATGGCTTTTTTTTCTTTTTTAGCATTTTCATATTCAGTGCATCAAACAGCACCTATCGACGTCAAAAACCTTGAATTTAGACCATTGTTCATCATAGGGAAGTATGTTCTACGAACGTCACTTTGTTGCAAAATGTTGATTTGAAATCTCGTTTTTGCAGCAGCTATTTTTCTGAAATCTTCTTGCATGAGGATGTTAATTATGCTTAAAACTATTGATTTGGCAGAAGAGAAAAAAAGATTATCCTGATCAATTTAGATTTTGGCGCTTACGTCACATTACTGTCACACAGCAGTGTAGGAATCATTGCGGATGGGGATTTTAACTATGCTGCCTTAAAATTTCAAGTGCATTTAATTAAATCTTGAAGTGACGTTTATATTCTGCATGCGCTTTCCGTTCTCGGAACGAAACTTATGCGGAGTGATTTATTGCATAAGCATAACTTCTTTGGAGCTGCTTTCAATGTGGACGGAAGCACGGATTTTTTGTAATGAGAGTAGTTGAACCGTTGAAGTTCAAGGTCATTTCATTTAACTAGATAAGGCTACAATTATTATGAAAGTTTTATTTTTTGTTTTTTTTTTTCATCAATATTTAAAGCAACAGGCTTTGGAGAACACAAACATTTTATAAAGGTTGGATGGATAGTTACCCATTTGAATGATGCAAAATTTGAAACTTTCGCTCCACAGTTCTCAAATCATCTTGTCATCTCAAAATTTGCAATAATTAACCCTGACAGTGCACAAACCACTTGAAGTTTGCATGGGAATTACTATGGGAAAAACAGATTTTGTACTCATATAGGGTAGAGAACTACTTCGGCCAAAGCGCCCATTTTGGGCCTATCAAGCAGAAAACATCAAATAAATCCATGATTTCTGCGTTAACAGGTAAATTATGCTTTTGGCACGATACTTTACCCTAGCAGCACACTTGTCACTGAACAATTGCGGTTACTTATGTGCAACTTATTCCAGTCACAATCAAGTTTCAGCAGCTTATTTCGATCGAAGTGTGCTGCTTGGGTAGTTCAAATGCTACCGAACGAAGTAAATAAGAACGCGTCCGATAGGCCGAAGTGGATTCATTGGCGTTTCAATGCGTTAGGCCGAGTTTAGAATCCGTAGGCCGAGTTTGGCGTCAAAAAACAGGGTTAGACTTTTTACAATATCTCAACAATTTGTTTCTCTGTATCAAATCTTACGGTACGTACGGAAAGGTAAATACATTTAGAAGCCATCAGTAATAATAACATTCCGTTTGGTGCTAAACTACGCTACATCAAGAAAGACTAAGGGTGGGTTGTGCTTAATAGGCCGGAAATGGGGTAGTTAACCCTATTTCTAACAATTTTTATCACACAGCACAAAACAGTGTGCCCAAACAACAGCTTCAGTGTTGCTTTCGATTTATTGTTTCCTGCTACGATCAGACTAGCCAGTTTTTCTGTACAAACCTGCACATTTTATTTGGCTTCTAATGTAATCGGTTAACAGTTGTCTGCAGACAGTCAAAATATCTGTGACTTTCGAACCGAGTACAGTCAAAGTGTACAGATTATCTTTGACTGTGTGGTCATGGTTTGTTAAGCAGGGCTTAGACTAGGCAAGTCAAATGATCAACTCAGTTGAATTCAATTGGCTTGAAAAGTTGAGTCTGGTTCACCTTTTTTCAATTCAAGTGAGTTGATCAAGTCAGTCTAATGGCATGGTTTACACGTTCAATTCGCGTTCAAGTCAGTTGAATTCAACTGACTTGATCAATTGATTTGCCCTGTCTAAAGCCAGCTTTAAAAAAAAATTGATGACTGTACAGACAAATTTGTCAGTTTCTGCAACTATTCTGCAGAACCTGTCTGTTGCAGATATTCGGCAGCTTGTTTTTTTTTCAGTGTTCATTGTTGTTGGCTTGGATCAGAAAGCATGTAGTTGTCATAAGTGACGTGAAAATAAACGATTGCAGTGACCAAAAACTCCTAAACGTAATCGTCGAACGGAGACTCGTAAGTGGTCGAATAAGGAATCCTTACTTTGCATTAAACCAGCATTCTATCACTCAAATTGGGAACAAATTCTTTAAACTTTAATCGCTCTTCCGTCAAACTCACAGATTGTCTTCCAATTTAATCATAGCTTACATAGTTCCCACTGTCTTTACAGTGTAATCAGCGTACAAAACTTAAAAAGTCTGTCACAGTCAAAGAAAATGGCAAAAATATTGTCTGTCCACAGTCCACAGAGTCACTTAACTGTAGGTAGTGTGATGACGTTGTCAGGAAAATTTTCAACAGTCAGCGACAGCGACAAGTCTGTGGCAGACAAACTGCGACAGAGAAACTGGCTAGTCTGATAATAACTTTAGAGTAGGATCGTGCATCAACGCTGCTTGAGGGCATGATTACATTTTTTCTGCATTTTTTTTTTTCGATAAGCTGGGACGTTTGACTTTAGCAGTTGATTTGTATGAGTTGCTTTGTGAAGTATGTTGGATGCCCACTACTTGCACACGGAGATCTGACAAATCGCAATCTTAAGATTCCTCCAAAAAGGAGATCCTTATCACCTGCAAAATCAGCAGCAACACTCGAAGCCTCGCCCGTTGTCGTTCCCCCGTAGGTTCTAGTTCAGACAGTTGTGGAAAATCCGCATGAATATTTTCCGCTGAAGATAACCATATTTCACTTGCAAATTATACTCTTGACAAATGCTGGAAAGCACTTTTGGCTATTTCGCCGCTGATTGAGTCCTTAGCCAAGTTAGCAGGTCCTCCATCTGGAATCGTCATGTTTAGACCGCTATCAGCACCTTTTATGGCATCGGCCATAGATAATCGATTATTAATCGAAACGTTCACAAGACTTAGCATACTTTGCACACTTCTGTGTATAGTGTACATTTCGATTGTTGTGTTTGCATGTTGCTACTTGTCCCTTGTATGTTACGAGCGTCATCATGTTTTCGACTGTGATGAACGAGAGAATCGGTTTCAGGATCCTCATCCGCAGTACTCTTAGAGAAGATGCATAAATAACGTAGCATTTTAGGGTGACCACTGACTAGTCATGTAGAAAAATACGCTAGTGAGTCCAAAGTATAGATACTATAGATTCCATTTTTGGCAACCATGAAAAATAAATGCTCTTACTGGCATCGGTGAAAATTGTCATGCCATCAAAGAACTTCTCGCTGTGCAGTTTTGTTGTGTTTTGTTTCGTACTTAAAAGTTCAAAATAAAGTGCCAAGCAATTCATTGCAACAATGAATCAAGGAAATGTTTGTGTAATATTTCATTCTCCGTTTTCCGTAAAATAAATCAATGGCTATTTAGGAATTTGTAGTCGCTTGCTATTTAGAGATTGGTGCTTAAAACTGTGTCCTCAATTAATTAAATGTTTCCATTTATTGTTGAAAAATATTCACTTCCATTTCAAGTTAAAAATATGCTGAAATGAAAATAAATTATAATATTACAATACTTCCTTTGAAAAAATATCATGATGACGTCATGCTCGTTTGGCTACACTACCTGACAGCTTATCTATGGAATCTATAGTATCTATAGTCCAAAGTTGGTGATCATGTTTTCTACATCACACGAGAGAATCGGCTTCAAGATCCTCATCTGAAGTACTCTTAGGGAAGATGCATAAATGACGAAGCATTTTAGGGTGACCAGCGAGGGGTGCGACACATCCAAATCTCAATTTTAGATGGTCGAAAAATCTTACGCTAGCGAATCTCTTACATATATATATCCATCTGCTTACATCGCTATCCACCTTTTTGCAGGAAATCTTCAAAATCGTCATCAATCTTCTTTCTATCACTTAAGCGTGCGCGCATCTCACAATAGCAAAGCAAAAAATTTCCTGCATCTTAGTTATAGTCATTTAAACATTAACATTGTTTAGTGTTTAACAATTTTAAACATTTGTTTACGTTTGATGAAGCACCAAGTAGCATTTTAGGGTGATCATCAATGTAGAAAAATACGCTACAAGGGGGAGCAGGTACAAAGATGGTGAAATGTTTGTTTACGATTGATGAAGCACCATCTTTGGACACCCTCCCCATTGTAGCACATTTTTCTACATGGCTGGTCACCCTCAAATGCTACGTCATTTAGGCATCTTCCCTAACCCTATTTTGTATTGTATTGAGTTCGTGATGAACACACTACTTCATCAATTATGATCTGGTCCTCAATAGGGTGTTGATGCCTTAGCAATTAGCTATTAATAATCATATAGCCAGTAGAATAAAGCATATAACGATAGTGTTGCATAAAATATATAGATCCACACCCAGTAAAACATTTACCGCACCGATACGTATTAAATCGTTTTCACCACACATCCATACATATTTTATGAATCAGCTAATTTTGCCATTTTTCTCGTACTCTCTTCATCACCATATCCTAGGATGGATTCATACGTTGGCCGAACGGTTGAAAATTCCTGTAACGAACGTAACACACGGTGAAGCGTACATAACATCACTCTACTTCACGTTCACTAGTCTGACGTCGGTAGGTTTTGGAAATGTGTCGCCCACCACCATCAGTGAGAAAATCTTCAGCATCGTAATGATGTTGATCGGTGGTAAGTGGATCCCTACACTCAAATGTTTTTGCTGTTCATTCTTAGGTTCTACAATTGTTATATGCATTAATTATTAAGTACATGAGAAAATTAAAATTGCGTCCTTGCACTGTAATGTAAAATTAATCGGAAAAAAAATAATATGACAAAAATAATGTACATTTAAAGCAAACCTTAAAATATTTTAAATTATTGTCTGTCCATATTTGTTCATGTTTCACTTTGTTTATATTTGTCTGCATCGTTATTAGTTTGAAAAATTATTATTTAAAAGGTAAATAATTAAAACTGAATTTGAAGGAGCATCCATAGAAAACGGTCTACATCTCCAAAACTATTAAAAATAGAAAATTAATATCTTGAACAAAGTTTCATATTTTGAGTATTTCTACAACTTTACTGGAAAAAGTATCCTTCTATCTCTTTAGGGGGAAAAGTTAGTTTTTCTTCCTCTAATGACACTTTTTTGATTAAGTCAATAGTGTAGGCACAATTGAATTAAGTTCGTGATTTTGTTATCTCCGACCACTGTGCGTTGTTGTAAGGCACAGTATAATTGAATATATCTCCCTATAAATGTTAAGTTCATCGGCATACAGTTTACCAAACTTCAAACGGAAGGCGAGATTATTTATGAACAGAACAAAGGCTTTCCGATTGATTCAGTTAGATCTTAGCCACCCAGTAACGAACGATATTGAATTCAAACATAAAAGCCTAGAATTGAACCCCATATTACATCTTTGGGATCAAAAAGAATCAAAAGAAGCACATGACTTACAGAAGTTAGTTAAGTACTTTTATGCCCGAATTTGGAGAGTCATCCCAACTTGACAAACTTAACTGTTATTTCGGTGATTTCACCAGCGTGATTGCAGTAAAGGCGGAATACGAGCTCTGGTGCCGAACATCCATAAATATTAACAAGAATTTTGATAGTTGAAGATGCTAATTTCAAATAACAGACTGTAGTGGTAATTTTTATACGATAGATGGAGTAGATGAAAGCATAGAGTTGATAGTTCCGTTAGAGTACGGCAGTGTGAAGATTGTATATAGATATTAGAATAGCGAACTAGGACAACTTTTAAGGAAGGTACAAATCGGTTTTTTCATCTCTCTTTACCAAACTCCCCCTTTGGAGAGGGATGGTGAGGGGTGTCCCCCCCGCCACCACTGGCAAAAAGAGATGAAAACTTATTACATTTATTTGATGATAAAAATAAAATATGTTAAAATTGTTCGTTGCATTACGTGTGACCGTTATTTTTAGTTTACTGACTTTTTCAGCTGTTTGAAAACCCAGTAAAAAATTACTGACCCCAGTAAAATAATCTCTGTGTGTATGCTTTCCTCTACTCCATCTATCGTATAAAAATTACCACTACAGTCTGTTATTTGAAATTAGCATCTTCAACTATGTAAATCGTTGACTTCACGTAGAAGTAATACTAAAAACATATAGTCGAAGTAAGAATTTTGAGGTATTCGATTTTGACACGACGTATTTTCCAACAATCAATCTTTTGTTGACGGTTTTGGTGACACTCCCTGTCACTACAGCCAGTGTGGAGAGGATTCTTCACACTGAAACTAATTAAAACTGTTCAACGCAGCGTAATGGGAAACCAACGACTTTCTGGCTTGGCTATAATATCAATTAACTAGGATTATGCCACTGATACAAACCACGTGTTTGATATACTACACCCTTAGAAATAACTAATTTTACACGCGACGGAATCCATCTTAGACATAAAGGATCAGACGTTAACAAATATTTCATGTAAAATTAAGTGCTCCGAGACTGAAAAAGTCGTTACTCGACGAAAAGTACGTTATATCGAGTTGAATTTCGCGTCTGTTATGACTCAATTTTATGTCAAAATTTATGCTCGTATATTTCAGTCTCAGAGCACCTAAATTTACATGATTTTTTCTAAGTGTGTAGCATACTACAATAGATCAAATTACTGGTCGCAGTGGTGTTATGTCCCGAACAGATAAAAAAAAAAAAAAAAAAAGTGTGTAGCAAAGAGTAAAGCTAGAAGATTACTTCTGTAATAACCAGGTGTAATGTCCAGGATGTGACCCTACGTTGTGTTTAATTTGTTGCTCAGATTTCTGGACAGCAGTTTCGAGATCGGCAATTGATTCAAATGAAGTAAAAGAATACTTTCACTATTTATTACCACCGTCAGGCAGCACCCTGATCGGAGGTCAAATTCAAACTTAATCGATTTACATTAAATATTTGCACTTATACAGCTAACTGTAACAATACAAAATATCACAGAAAAACGATCACTTCACAACCAAAACAAAAATACAGCGATGGCAAAACAAAAATATAAAAAAAAACATATACACTAAGATTTTGTTTAAGGCAATTGAATTTGAAAATAGTTTCAAAATATGTTCAACCTTGTTTAAATTATTAAATCTTGTCATTTTAGTGGAGATTTAGTTTCAAAGTAGCTGAAAAGTAATTGAATTGAATTGCATAGATTTTACCGAACAGTTCAGCTGTTCAGATTTCGGTAAAAATTACCGAATTCGGCGATAATTTCTAAGTATGATGTACGCAACAGTAGCCACTGTTCTCTTCGTGTCGATCACATTGCTACCACTGCATCGAGGGACGTTTGATTTTACCGCCTTCACAAATTTAAATGAATTAGCATGCGGTGCCGATGGTGCTATTCAACACCATTTAATATGTTAAACCTTAAAGTAACATAACATATTTTTGTCCTTCCTTACATAATGCAAATATGGGTCATAATTACCAGCAGAAAACAAATAAAACTATAAATATTTTCTTAAAATTCATACATTTGTTTTACTTTTCTCATAATTGGTTATTAAAGTCTTTGAAAAAACTATTATTTTACATTCTGATAGTTCATTTAAAATTCCGATTAAAGATTAAAACGAATTAAAAAAAAAGAATTCATGACACATGATTTTGAACGATTTTGGTGAAGGTAAAAAAACAATAAATTAACATACAGTGTATGGCAAAACTGAGCGTAACCCTAATGGATTTTTTTTTTTAAACATTGTCAATATATATATTTTTTTAAATCTTGGCTGGTGGTTAAACAGATATTTATTGATTTTTCGCCAAAGTTTTGGACTTTATTGGAAGAACCTGTATGAAGTTAGATTTATTTTAGTAAAACGCACGATTTTCAACTTTTTACCTAGTGGACGAATTTTAGAAAAAAATAGTGGTGTATTAATGATCTTTATTATGACTTAAAATAAGCAAAATTATAAGAAAGTTCAGTTTATTGTTTTTCATGATATGAAGGTATTTTAAAACAGCCTTTTTCTCAAAAAGCACTTAAAAAAAATCAGAAACGTATGTCTTTAAATTAGGCTTTACAGCTTTTTCAATTTTGAGATACACTGTATGTATCGTGACTCTGTATCATTCGATGTTCAGTAATGCACACATTTTATGAAGCATCAGAGTTTTTATGTCATAAAATGTAAACTGTAAACAAAATAAATATGAAGACATTTGGTAACAAAATTGCTGACATATTCTGACATTCAAACACACATGGGCCGGGACCAACGGCTTTACTTCCCTTCCAAAGAAAGACGTGACCAGAGATTTGTATGATTCAAAAAAATTACACCGACCTCGGCTGGGATTGGACCCAGACCCATTGGGGTGAGAATGCAATCACGCTACACCACCGGCGCTGGCTAATACGAAAACATTGACAAACAAAAAAGCAAAAACCATAACAACAAAATAACGCACATGCAGTAGAGCATCATTTTATCTCCCTATTACAAGGTACACCTAATCCTTTGATAAAAGAAAAACATCGTTGCATCATGATGTGATCCAAGCTGAATGCACCGTAGGGTGGATTGTTAATGATTGCCAACTTCAGTTTTCTCACATACCATGTGCCATCAATACTTGAGATTTTTTCTAACATAAGATCAAGTTGTAATTGTTTCAACGATTATTATTACATATATTTGTAGGACCAAAAATAATGTGTTTGATAAAAATTGAGAGATGTGGCTAATAAATGGAAAACTACCTTACAGTTGTATACTGTAAGGATGCTCTAACCTAGATTAAATTCTCTATCCTTTGTTGCAATGCTGCAAAACCGATGGAAATTAATAACTATTCACCACTGTATTATGGCTCGCCATAATTGGATTGACTGTAGTAATAGCCGATTGGTAAACGGAGCTTATTATTGAATCGTCACCTAGCATATTACTAACCGATTCATACCTAATTACTTCTTAAGGCCAACGCACATTGCATCCGTTGGTGATATTTTACGGCATAGCGACACTTTAATCTATTGTATAAAATAAATCTGCGGGAATGACACTGATGAAGATTGCACATTGTAGTTGAAATACGTATCTGTCATGGATACAAAATATTAAAGGGTGTATTCGATAAAAATGGCACACACATATTAACTCACCAAAACTAAACTGATAACCGGATTTTCTTGAAACTTTCAGGGAATGAAAAATATCTAATGAGTTCTGATTTACAAAATTTGTTTTATTCAATTTTGTCTACCATCCCGAATGCCCGCACCTTCCTTTTCACTTCACCCATCACATTTTGTACAACCGATTTTCCCAGGGTTTTTGTTGTTTTTACCCAAATTTTCTTCAACTCCAGCTCCTTTTTAATAGTTTTGGGGTGTTTGGGAAGTTCGTCTTCATAATTTCCCAGAATTTTTCAATGCACAATTATTAGTGCAGAACTTGGGGTAAATTATAAGTATTAGTGCAAGAAAATATTTGAATCCACCCAAAGTTCTGCCCTAATACTAGAGCAATTCATAAACGTCAGAGAAGTCTATTGGCTGAAGTTCCGGTGAATGTGGTGGGTTCATATATTTTGGCACAAAATTGACTCGGTTGGCTCGTTACCACTCCAACATGTTTCGAGCGTAGCGTTGTTGGATGCTAGATCAGGCCAAATCAGAGTTGATCCT